CACTTCTTTACAACTTCATTTTGTCACATTACTCTTTTGCTGTCAGGAAAACAATCCACAATTTCTCTTTAGATCTCTCAAGAAAAACGAAGAGCAAAAAGGATTTGTCCTTCAACTAAACGTTTTCTGTCTGTATCAAATTCAACCGTATTTTACAGCTATTCTGATTGTGAAAATGAGCATTTATCCATACGTTGTCTTTTAAAAAATTTCCAAGTTGTTTGGTTTTTAATCACTGTATCAAATGGTACTTGGCTTTATATTAGGAGGTGGGTTTATAATAAAAAGTTATGAAACATTGAGAATTCATTTGGAATGCTTGAAACTGTTTTTCACCTTAAAAGTCACCGTTTTTTCATGTTTCGTTTGATAATAGGTGCTGAGTTAAGAGATGACGGCATATCATATCATCATCTTCCCGGGGTGCTCTCAGGCTCTGAGGGTCAGAATTCTCAGGACACAGCTTGGAGAAAACTGTAGAAGGGACTAAACTCTCACTCCCTTTCGAAACCAGATTCCTCAAGGTAGGTGTAAAAATGCTATACAAATATGTAAAGATATATTTGGACAGCATATGTACACATATATATTACATACATGGTAGTGAAGGAAGCACAAAGATATGCAAAGTTAACATGAAGGAAGCCGTGACAATCTAGGTGAAATTAGTCTGAGAAAGAGGGGCAGACTGGTTTATATAGGAGCACAGATGTGTGGACACAGGGTCGTGGTCATGAGAAGGCTTACAATGCACTGATACAGGTTGAGAAGGTAGTACACAGAGGTCTGTCGCCAATGTTGTTACATTCTATCATTACTCATACAAACACAAAACCAACCAACACAAAGACATGCATCTTAAACATGCGTTGCTCTGCACCTAACACCTTTGACGAAGGGGAGCGGTCTAATGTAGAGGTTTTCTCGGAAAATTCCATACCAACAGAAAGCGCTCCTTTTCTATGAAACATACCAGCTCACGTCCTAATGCTACAGCTTCGTCTCCGACGCACTGAAAACACTTTTGGGTCGGGGTGTGTGTGTATGCAAACGTATATACACTGTTCATTAAGGCTTCGATAAATTAAAAAAAGTGGTCCAAAGTATGTCACATTTTCTTCCCGGTTTCAAAATCTAAAGTACAAACTGGAGGAGTCTATAAGGATTTAAAAAAAAAAACACATCTCAGCCCTAAAATTGGCAGTTTTGACTTGACTTACCAAGATGTACCCTGAAGTCTGAATAAGACGGAGGTGGTGCGGGACCTCCTGGGGGTCAGGAAGGGAGCAGGCCAGGCAATTACCCTGCACAGCAGTGCCCCCTACTGGCAAGGCAGAAAATGACACCAGAGTCGGTCAGTACAGGGGTGCAGAGTCAGGGTGAGGAGGAAAGAGCAAACAAAGAGAGGCGCTAGCACAGGGCCTGGGCAGGGGCTTGAGAATTGATTAACCCAGGCTCTCTTCATAGAGTCTGTAATTTCAGAGGTGAGATACAAGAGCTAGGAAAATACTTGAGTCACGTGTGGAACAATTAGTAACTGTTAGACAACATGTACCACTGCTGTGTGATCTTGCCAGTTCCAAATTGGTTCTCTTGAAGAGCGAGTTCATATGCAGCAAAGCTCATTGTTCTGTTTAACAATGTGAGATGTAGAAAGTGGTTCAAATATTTTGCAAACCATTTCTCTCAGAATCTGTCACTGCATCCTTATGTGGGAGGAACAATCCATGTCAGGTTGCTTTAAGCATCTGTCATCTGACCTTAGGGCGTATCTGATGTTAGCTACCAATGGGCCTTTGGTAAATAATGGCAAGTATTTCAGGAAAAAAGAAAGAGCACTGTTTCCTGTTCCAGAGGCAGCAGGCAGAAAAGCAGCACACTTTCTGAAGCTAATCCCACTGGGTGGACTTTCCAAATTCATCTTTAGGCTGACAAGAGTCAGAAATAGAGATACCCAGGACTTTTACAGGTGGCTGTGATAACCGATGTTTAAAAGACTTTCAACGTGCAATATATATGTAAACTCTGGCACTTCTTAACCTCAAGGCAAAATGGCCCATAACAACTCTGTTTCAGCGAACTGAAGCTAGATTCAGGTAATTTCTAAGAAAGCAGAAGCTCTAGGAGACCCTGGACTGCGGAGTAGCGTCACTGCTAAGGACTAGATGAGGTGACACCGCCGTCCTGCCGTCGTCCCTCAGGCCCGCTGACCGGAGCAGGCAGAGGCCCAAGGGACCGCCCGGCAGCCTGCCCCACATGCAGTGCATTTTCCTTACTGCCTTCTGTGGTTACGTCGCGAAGGTGATGGAGAGTGGTCATCAGGGTTGAGAGAAAACAAGATGGGTGACTATTTTAGACAGAGTGAAACTCTGAGAACTGATGAGAACCAGGGAACGTTATTTGGATTAAAAAAAAAAAAAGAAAACCAAAACCCCCAAACAAACTCTAGACCTGGCACTTTTGAGCTGTCACTGAAATCAGATATTAAGGGATAGATGAGCTGAATTGTCATTCACAGTTACTGCCTTTCAAGTATTCGTGGGGGTCTATTTCGGTAATTCTTATCTGTTCTTGGCACAGAAATTATCTTAGGATGGGTTTTCTTTCTTATTTTTAATACTTTGCCTAATTTGCATTTAGTGAATATTCTGATTTTTTGGAATATACAGTTTACAAAAAGACAGAAGAATCCCAGTTCTTAGACAAGAATCGTTGGATTTCTCCCCCTATAAATTACACACTCTCAGAACCCATCCAAGCATACTGCTCTCCCAGGCTTTGGCATAAGTCATAAAAAGAAAGCCGAGTCTGGACTTGAGGGCTACAAGAAGGGGCAGGTTTGCCACTGAGACATCTGTTACATTGAGTGATGGGAAAGAAATCCCACCAATAGGTAAAAATAATGAACAATATCGTTTTTTCTAATTACTCAATATCTAGGTTTTCTGATCACTGCTGGATTTTTAAAAATCAATATGGGGCTTCCCTGGTGGCGCAGTGGTTGAGAGTCCGCCTGCCGATGCAGGGGACACGGGTTCGTGCCCCGGTCCGGGAAGATCCCACATGCCGCGGAGCGGCTGGGCCCGTGAGCCTGCCTGTCCGGAGCCTGTGCTCCGCAACGGGAGAGGCCACAACAGTGAGAGGCCCACGTACCTCAAAAAAAAAAAAAAAAAAAAAAAAAAAAAAAAAATCAATATGAAAAGGGAACAATCCTCAGCTCTGTAGAAATCCACCTTCTTTTAGACACCTAGGCCTCTGCACCGCTTCAGAAAACTCCTTTACAAGCACAAACATTCGTGGCTTCCCACAAGCCACCCAGAGCCGGGGTAAATTGAGTTTGTAACGCCAAAAGATCCTAAATGGAGGCCCTGAAACCACGATTTTATTGTCTTATCTACAACTGGCAAGAGGTGAGATGGCTAGTGTCCCCTGACTGCCACCACGGGTCTAGGACAACACAGGTTAAGAAGGACAGCAGGATTGCTGGACTCCCGCCCTGCCTCAGGCGTTCTCTCAAACCATGACAGAATTCTGCAACAAGGACTCACAAGCGGCCAAGAATCGAATCCCACAGAACCCTCCATCCCCGCCAGGACCAGCTGAAGAGCCGGACGTCAGGGGATCAAATCAAGTCTTCTCTCGCACTTTTAATCCAGCACACAACGGACACAACTTGGGCAGTACACGGTATGGAAGCATGCAACATGTCACTGGGAACAAAATCCGGTTAGATTAACTGTCTATTAATCTTTGCAGTGGCATAGAAATCACAAAACGATTGGTGAGGACAGGTCTGTAGGCTCAGCTTTACAGCCAGGTTTTATACACCAGCAGCCAGATTCACAATTGATAGATATTGCACCGGAAAGGTGTGTGCAGAGGGAAGAAATCAGCATTACAGTCAATGCTCATGACAAAAACCGCCCAGAAACCAGATATGACCTCCATGTCGTACATAAAGTGCCTTCAGAATTGGCGCGGTTAGAACAAAAGTTGGTTATTTAGCTACCGTCAGCAAACGTGTACAAACAGGAGACTGCACAGGCCTGGTTCCCACAGTTTTTCAAATCGCGCAGTGCCAAGTTTCATTCAAGTGTCTCTACTGAGAACAGCAAAGAGGAAGATATGACAGAAGGAGGACTGTACAGCGGCAGGAAGGGTTAAGTAACTTCTCTTACGAGAAATGATAGTCCAACCCTGCCTCAAGTGTGTTCTAGCACACGTAATTACCTCTAAGGAATAATGGTGTGATTCCTTCAAGTCAACACAAATTTTGTCATGCTATGTTACAATTCTCTCAGCCTGCAGCTATTATGCTAAATTTGTACAAAAAACGTTAATTATCCAGTTTGTTTTCATTCTGAGCATGGAAAAAATTGTCATGATGCCTAATGTTATGGTTTAAATTCTCTCCAAGTATTTGTCTGTAGAAGGCTTTTGGACAAAAGTCATTCTTCCAATGCTAATCAGGTAGGGCGTGGGGCTGTCCAAGTACTTTAAAAATAAAAATGTCGCCGACATTAAACCTGGCGTGAAATTCAAATACAAAAAAATAATATGCTCACTTTTCCAAGTACATGAGACATCTTTAATTGTAGTGAAATAAAATCTGCAAATCGGTCTAAATCATTTTAAAAAGTAAACATGAGTTGTAATACTATACCAGTAGAGTGATTAATTCCATTCGCTTTCATTATAAAGTATGTAAAATATTTATTAAGGGCTTGGCCTACAGAGGCACAACATAAATAGAATAAGTCCTCCTAAAATGTAATTAGTATACACATCAACCAGTTGGTAATTTGTGGTGGAAAATGCAGGAACGCGACCTGGGACTGGGTTCCCACGTTGGCGCGTGGGCAAGTCGCGGGCGAAGGCTCTGCTCCAGGAGTCCGCGCCGTGCGCTGCTCTCTGCCAGCATCTCTGCAGAGTCTGTTAGGCGAATGCAAAAGTGCAAGCAGGACTTGCGTGAAGAACAACCCTCCCGAGGCAGGGGGCACTTAATCCACCCCCTCGAATCCTTGGGCATTTTCCACAGCCATGAGAAGCTTCTCTCGTAAATCTTCAAAGGTTTCATATGGAGGTAAGTCAAGGCGATTAAAGCTGCAAGAGTTAACAAGAAAGGAGAGGTAAAAAGCCATCATCACTGCCCTTTAGTTACCCCAGCACTTCCTAGATTTGGCTAAGGGGGCACTTGGTGTTCCAGCAAGAGGGTGTAAAAGTCTCAACTCGCAAAAATGTTTCTGATTATCAAAAAGTAAATTCCAGCGATGACACCGCCCACACCAAACATGCTATATTAACCTACGGGGGAAGGGAGAATAATTTTCTAATCGTCCATGAACGCTCTCTACTGGGACCAAAGGTGGAGCCTGGAAAACCCTGCCAGGAAGGGAGACAAGACAGGCGACGTAACTGACATACACACAGAGATGTCAAAACCCTTGAACCACAAAGAACTTGCGCAGCAGGACGAACTGAGGCTGCATCTGTTTTAACGCTGTCCTCCACTGGACACTATTTTAGGAAGCCCCAGCGCTTCTCCACGTAGCACATCGCTTTGTTCTTAGCGCAGCCCTGTGAGGCACGTTACGTTTTCTCAAGTCTGCAGATGTGGGTCCCGGAGCCCAGCGGTGGGTCAATACGCCCCAGGTCTCACCCCTGACAGCACCGCAGATGCGAGACCAGAACCCAGGCTGCCGGCAGCTCTGGGACCCCAACACTGAGCTATCCTCTAACCAAAGTCAGGCAAGTCATCAACACGTGGAGTGAAAAGCCTCACTTAGAAAAAGCCCCTACATACCTTGAGGCTTTGGCAGGGGTGTTACAAGTCACCTCGGTGACAGTGAGGTCTCCAGACATACATGTGGCCTCTGTGAGCAAAGGACTGTACCTGTCCACGGGACTGAGTTCAAAGTCTGTCTCTGCCACCTGCCAGCTGTGTGACCTCAGTCAGGCAAGTCGCCTCCGTCCCTAAATCTGTCTGCTCTTCTGGGAAATGGGGAGACTGCTGCAGAGCGCTGGGAGGGTCAGATCAGAACATATAAAGGGGGTCTGGCACACAGCAAGCCCCAGAGCCAGCGACCATTGCCATCACTCACTCACACACCATTCACCGCCGGCCCCCACTGGGCATGAGGAGCTAGAGCCCCAGACACAGAACTGGTGCCCGTGCAGGTGGGCTGCTGGCGGGCACCTGTCATGACGATGGCCACACGCACACACACACGTACACGCGTGCCTTCGTTCGTGATGCTTTAGTAAGAGCGAACATTTGTGGAGCACTTGCCCCGTGCTAGAACCATTAAGGACTTTTCATCTATCACCTCAGTGAATCCCAGCAACCAGCCTGTAAGGTAGGTACTGCCTCATCCCTATTTATAGAGGAGGAATTCGAGGCACAGAGAGGCTGGGTAACTTGCCCAAGGTCACACAGTAAGCGGTAGAGCCAGGATTCAGCCCCAGGCTGGCTCCAAAGCCCAGATCTGCTTCTGCTGCCTCAGCATTTAAAAGTGCTCCCTCCTGGCACTGACATAGGTTTCCAAGCACGAGCAGAACAACTTCTTATGTTTTAAAAGCTAATGATTATCAGCAGCAGTAAGAAACAGACACATGTCCGTGGTGGGCTCTTTAACAACCCCTAAAGTATTTAATAAGACACACTGAGCGCCGAGGTTGTTTTTTTTTAATAGTCACCCAACATCAAGAGACACAGCAGAGCAGAACGCTGTGCTTCTCAAAGCAGAGGTCTCAGAAACCCAGGAATCCTGAAGGCGTTAAGTCTAAAAGAAGTTTTCAATTTTTGGTTTTCACCATGATAATGATTTCAAACATCATTTCACCAGTGATAGAGACAGAATTCCACTTCTGCAGGGTATACTTAAGAGAAGAGGTGGCTGTCGTCTTGATTTTAAGTTGGTATTTCACAGTCCAGGGCCTGCAATCCCTGTGGGGTTTCGAGGATCTGTGGCCATTTTTTTCCCTTTAAAAATGGTCCATACATCATTCAAGTTTGAGAAATACTGGAGTAATGGAGAGAGAGAGGCAAACGGGAATGTTAAGAGCTGAGGTTTGGAATTATGTTAGCGCTCTGTGCCTCAGTTTCTTCATCTGTAAGGAGAGGGCAGTAATACGACCCACCTTTTAGAGTCGTTGTGACGATGCTACGGGTTAATATACATGAAGTGCTTAGGATGATGCCTGGAACGCAGCAGTGCTTAACAAGTGTTACCGTGACTTCTGACGTCAGGAGACAGGGCTGGCCTGCCACCAACTAGCTGTGTGACCTCATTAACCTCAGTGGCTTCAGCCTCGTCGAGTGGGCCAGAGGAGATTATTTTTAGGTGGGTCTGTGATTCTTAGTAAAGCGGAATGTTAGATATCCCAGCAGTGACCTTTGACAGAGAAGAGGAATGAAGCCCTTTAATGTTGAGACACTCAGCAGTTACATCTGAGAGTTTCAGGAAGGCTCAGAGAGAAGCAGCTCCACCAGCCCTTGCTCTCCTAGTAAATCAGGTTTTAATTGTGAAGCTTAATTGTGTATTTTGTATTTTCATAAAACATGGAAGAGGTTAAACATATGTGTGGCTAGGTTTTATTTCGCCACATATACGGCTGTCGCTGTGAAGCAGCCAGCAAGGCGCCTGTTCCCTACGTTACAGCGGGAGCCGGGGCTGGATGGAAGGAAAGCCACAGCAGAGAAAGCAGAGTAAGTCCCCCCGCCGCCCACCAGCCGGTCTGGCTTCAGTAGGACTTCGTCCGGGGAGAGTATCATTGGAGAGAAAACCCTTTGAATGCTTTAATCCTGTGACACACGGAGAAGCAGCGAGGCTTTGCTAAGGGGTGGCGGGGTTGCTTTCCTCCTGTGTGGAGACCCCTGTCCTGCCTAAGGAAGAGCAACTAGCTCTCCTCACCAACCGCCTCGGCAGCTCTGAAAACCCCACGGCCCAGATCACACACCAGGCCAACTAGGTCAGAATCTCTGGAAGTGGGACCCCGGCACCAGCATTTTTTTTTTTTTTTTTTTAATGCTTTCTAGGTGGTTCCAACGTGTAGCCAAGGTTGAGAACCGCTGCGTTCAGGGTCTTATCTGGGCAGCCCCGTATTTTAGCGGTGGCTCAGCACGTGAACTCCGAAATAGAAGAATCCAACAGCGAGGTATCTGTCTAGAGGCCACAGAGGGCCATGGGATGAACACTCAATTACTCGGTTCTCTTTGAAGAGTCTGGAAAGAAAGTGAACCGTATCACAGGGGCAGTAGCTTAACTGAAGTGGTCAGGGTGCAGACTGGAATCCTGGCAGACCCGAGTTCAAATCACAGGATCTGGGAGCCTGTGTGCTACGGGATCACGAGGAAGCTTCCCCAGAGCCCCCAGGAAGGCTAACAGTGCACTTCAGGCTACCAGAAGGTTGAGGGTCTGACCCACACAGGACAGCCGCGCCCAGTGAGGGAGCTGTTCCTCCAGCTGAGTTTGGGAGCGCTGCGCCCCATCCCGCCAGTGCTGGGGCTCGGTTCAGTGCTGGCTGCCTTTCAAATGAAGGCTACTGAGCCCGGAAAGCTACACGTGACTGATATCGTTTGGAACAAAAGCTCCACGGCCAAAACATTCTACCCCCAAGAATAAAGGCAGAGGATCAAGGGACACTGCCTGCTCTGGCAATCGGCCAGTTGTAGCGAGAACCAGCCCGCCCTACCGGTGCCAGCGGGCAGGGACCACATCCGTTCCACTCAGAGTCCTACGAATGGTAGAAATGGGGAAAAACGTGCTTTCCGGCAAGGCGAGGGAGTCAAAGAGAAGCAAAAGGCCTTTCGCAGCCCATTTTCCACAAATGCACCTTGACGAGACCTCTCTCCTAGTTGCGCTGGGCAGCACAGGACGAGGGCCCAGCGGCTCCGGCAGCCCCAGTTCCCGTGGGAAAGGAGGATGCTGGGTGCTGAACAGCCACAGGGCTCCCCCCCTCCACCTGCTTCCTAAGAGCAAGAAATCAGATCCTGTGGGGTGACCAACCCCGGGGACACGGGAGCCGGAGTGACAGGAGCTCCCGGAGAGCTCCTGAGGTCGTCTCTGTGCTGGGTTTCACGAAACTCCTGGGGTTTTCCTCCAGGAAGGCCTCCTTCCCGCCCTGCACCCGGAGGCCTTCTGAGCGCAGCCGCGCCCCGCACGTGCCTCCCTGAGCAGGGGTCCTTGGTCGGGCCTCTGACACTCCCCTGGCCACACGCACGTTGCTAAATCTCAAAGACTTATGGGTTCTGGATGGCCATGGAAGGCCTTTTAAAAACCTGTTGCCAAAGGGAATTTCATCCATGGTTCTAAACCATTTAAGGTTGGGGTAAAAACTCAATCTGTTCAGAGGCTGGGAGCGGTCGTATCCACATAGGGAGAATATATAGTGAAATCTCTGCTTCCCAGAATAATTAGGGAAGGACGGGGTTTGGAGGAGGAACTCCCCTCAGGAAGCAGGAACGGGGATTTAACCCGTCACATATGAAAAAAACCGGGCCCATTCAAATCTTGGGTGGCTTAATTTCATCAGCATCGCTATACAATCTGTATTTTCACCTGTATCACTGACAGTTCATACTCTAAACGCTGAATGGTCAGGGAAAGTAGCACTCTAGCCTGTAGCCCAGCATCATACTCAGCTAAGTGTTTTAAAATACTGTCTGTCAGCAACTGTGTGGTTTTCCGTCACTCACCATGTGTGAGCTCTGGGCAGTTTTTCAGGACTTCCCCATTGCTCTATTGTAAACAGCTGAGGACCATTGGAACCTAGACAAAAAAAAGGAAGAAAAAGAAATGCTAAGAGTGCTCAAGGCAGTAGAACAAGACGGAGGAGGGGCTGAAGGAAAGGGAGGGGTGGGCAGGGCAGGCCTGGGGGTGAGCCTTGGGACACCCTCTGTGGCTGTGACGCCACAGTCAGTACTTAACAACAGGGGGACGCAAAGGGTCTGCACGACCTCAGGACACAGACTCTGTGTCGCCATCAGAATGGAATCGCACCAAGCTGGACAGAGCCAACACAATAAGGTAACGATGTGCAGACAACCACAGCCTTTCAACCCAACCCTGGAAGTTTAAATTTAAAACTACTTCTGGGGGAAAAACTGAAACGTGATGACCTTTACTATGTAGAGCAGAGAGTGATTTTTCCATCTATAGTAAGCCCTGAAGAATTCTGCCTCGCGGAGGGAAGGAGTGCTTTCAATGTTCAGTTTACAACTACATGGATGATTCTACAAAATCTAGTTGTTTTTTGAATATATACCAAAAAACAAAACAAAAGAGAAAGAAAAAAGAGAAGCCCAACCTTATGGCTCTCTGTATAAAAACAAAAAACAAAAACAACCCCCTGCTTTTATATACAGGTAACTGCACAGACAGCTGAGGTGATGGCACGCTGCCCCATCTCTTTCCGTGATGTATGTCTGTTGGGTCCAGGCGAAACCCACGTGGCTAGAAGCCCGGGAGGCAGAGTCTTCTGGGGCCACAGCTGATGGCTGGGTAGAGACTCACGGTGGGAGGACGAAGTCTAATGGTACCCTGCTCACCGTAAAGTTCGGCAAATCCATTCATGGGGACTCGGGACGTCCCTGTGACAAACTGGAGTAACCGGATACGCTTTTCAGCATCCATCAGCAGCACAGCCTATGAACGGAGGCAGAAGGTCATTACGCTCATGTAACACGAGGCACGTCTGTTGCAGTGCAGATGGGCAAAACTTCATCTTATTTATAGTGCAGTGGGAGACCTAGACAGTTGACTCTGCAAACTTTTTTTTTTTATGGCCATCACAATACCAGCCTCTGCAACCTCAGACTGAGTGATCACAATGTCTCTTTCTTCTTCTGCCAACTGGTCAAAATAAGTGGTAAAAAAAAGCACACTTGGGACTTCCCTGGTGGCGCAGTGGTTAAGAATCTGCCTGCTAATAATGCAGGGGACACGGGTTCAATCCCTGGTCCGGGAAGATCCCACATGCCGCGGAGCAACTAAGCCCATGTGTCACAACTACTGAGCCTGCGCTTTAGAGAGCCCGCGAACCACAACTGCTGAAGCCTGCGTGCCACAACTACTGAAGCCCGCGCGCCTAGAGCCTGTGCTCCGCAACAAGAGAAGGCACTGCAATGAGAAGCCCGCGCACCGCAACGAAGAGTAGCCCCCCGCTCGCCGCAGCTGGAGAAAAGCCCGCGCACAGCAAGGAAGACCCAACACAGCCAAAAATGTAGAGCCATGTGAATAGGATGCCCTTTAAAAAAAAAAAAAAAAAAAGCACACTTGTTGATGGCACTGGGCTCATGTTTCTGTATGTGAGGCCTGCCGGTCCCCCTGAGCCAGTTAGAAATACACACAGTTTGAGAGGGGGAACCCAGGTTATGAGGCAGGATATTTGACTGTAGCTAAATTCTCTGAAGACAACATTTTAGAAAAAGAAAGAAAAACAGAGGCCAGGCTAGGCTTCTGAAATAATCTGTGTATCTTACATATCTGAATTATGCTAAGAATCGAGTTGGCTTCACTGGTAAAGTTACTTGAACTGATATTAAAAGAAATATATCCAAAATCAAGGCTGAGCGAAACTTGGACTAAGATTTTGGGATCTGAAGATTCTGCTTTTCTTCCTTTTCTCTCTTTCTCTGCTGCACTTGAAATATTATTAATAATAGACATTTAGAAATTAAGACAAGGTCAATGATTTCTTATTTCTGTAAGTAAATAATCAGCGCTTTTCCCCCTGTAATTGTTCTTTCAAAGTCAGTTTACTGCCCTCCTTTGGACCGGCTCGTTACTATTTCACTTCTCTTCTGCGATGAACAGGATGTAAACACTGGTCTTTAGAGAGTAAATCAGATTTCATTTGCATCTTTGATTGAAAGATGTAAAGATCAAAATGTTTGCTGGAATTTACAAAAGAAGTTGGGAAAATGGTTTTTGAAACCAACATGGCATCTTGGAAAAGTCAGTCCCAAAGCATGCTTTTGCCCTGAGAAGCCTCCCATTCCTATTCCCACTCTGGAGGACTAGTTCCAATTCTTGAATCCAATTATCTGCCTTTCAAATGGTTTCCTCAAACAAAAGCACTTTAATAGGTGGTCGAGGAAGACAGTGTAGCCTATTCAAGACAGCCATCCACCACAGTTATAGAAAAGCAGCGGTGAGGGCTGCTTCTGGCTCGGCGGGCCTCTTCTCTCCCCCAGGAGGCCAGGTACCAACACAGCCCCAAATCCAGCAGCAAGACCACGGGAAGGCAGCACAGGAGCTGGACTCCGGCCTTACCTTCCAGAACCACTGAATCACAGGGTGGTTCGGGCAGTAGCCGTTCTTGTAAATAGAATGTTGTCGCCAGTCGTTCACATCCACGTCGCCAAGGCCGCACATCAGCAACTGGGAGGGAGACGGGCCAGATTTACCCAGAGGTGAACAGGGCACATCGCGAAAGCCGAAGAAATACACCGGAGAAAAGGCCTTTTCTCAATGCCCGCATCACGTCACGTGCAAAGCAAGATAAGCCAGCGACCCATAAAAACAAATGAAGGGGGATACGTGTTCCACATCCTACCTGCCTCTGCAGATCAGAGACTGAGGGGTAACGAGGGGGACCCGACTCTAAAGCTTGTGCAGGCCACCACGTTTCATACTGGAAATTAGTAGAAGTCCCAATCAATCACCTTCCCCACCCCTCAAATCGCAGCTCGGTGCTCGTGGATCTTCGTATGCTCCATTTACATCTGCTCTTTCATTACTCTGGCTGTTTCCTCTTCTGAGAGGTTATCTGTCTCAAGAGTTGAAAATACCTCCCCACCCACGGGAGAATTAGTGCTTCATGACAGCGAGAACTCATCTTCCCGGAGCGATCCACCAGGTGAGGGCAACCACCTCACCTGCCTGGTGGCTCACGGCTGCAGACCTGTCCTAGCGCTGTAACTGCAGCTCTGACTCACCAGTCTTGGGTCCACTTCTCTTATCACCTAACCCTCCTAACAAAGGAATGATATTCCCGCGGAGGCGCCAGCGTACAGAGGAAAAAGAACGAATCCAGAGGCCTGAAAACCGGGTTCACGGGCCTGACTGTGACGAGACCCTGTGAGGTCATTAACCTCTCCCCGCCTCAGTCTCCCCACCTGCCAAACAAAGGGCTTCCTCTATATGATGCCTGTGACGTCATCTATCTGGACGCTTCCATTTTAAGGTAAAAGAACAAAAGCCAGTCTACGGGAGACACGTCATTGGACAAATGGCCAGAGTCCTGTCAATAGCCTCTCAACAGACAAAGCCTTCCTCCTTCTGTTTCTCTCAACATAAAGGCGGAGAGACTCCTTTGCTTTTCAGGTTCCGAGTTCTCATCTACACCGACGTGAAGCTGGCACAAGCTACCATGAAACCGCCTCCTGCCACTACCTTCTTGCCTCTGCCGCGCTTTCACTCCGCAGCACAGACCGCTTCGATTTCATGGAGACCCCTGCTCTATAGCCCCTCGGGGGCGCTCACACCCCCTGGCCGAGTCCTCATTCGGCTGCCACGGTGGGTGCACGGAGGACCGGGGTCCTCAGCCAGCCACACCCTGGGAGCAGGGTGCTGCCACCCCAACTGGCTGCTGCCACCCCAGCTCCAGGCTGTGAACCCAGCTCAGCGGGCCTCCCCCTGTCTGCTGCGTCCCTGATCTGCCCTCTCCCGGGCAAGGAAGCTACAGGTGACTACTACTGCTATCCCCTGGTCCCTGATCGGCAAACAAGCAAGCCCCTAAGAGACCCGCAGTAGAATTCACCTAAGCTTACTCGCTAGGACATTACGGATCAGAGAATACTAAAATACCAAGTTGGCAAGTAATGAGATACTTTAAAAAAAAAAAAATCTCCTTTTACACAAAATGTTTACAGTACAAACCTCCAGTTCATTTTCATCAAAAATTTTAATCAAATCAATAGGAAGCAGTTCCGTGAATCCCTGAAAGAAAAAAAGAAAAGCGCTCTCAACGCCTTTCTCCTTGAAAGAGACAAATTTTACAGGATAAACAAGCTTATTTTGGTTAGCCAGGAAAAATACACTGTTCACTGATGACTTATATGACAGTATTCAGTAATTTTAGTTCAGATAAAAACACCATAGTCACAAAATAAAAGTTTAAAAAGCAGTAGACTCCAGAAGATCCAGGTACTTGAGTAATTTTTGAAACGTTATAAAAATATGGGTTGCTGCAGGCAGGCGGATTCCAAAAGCCACGTATGACACATTGCTGTGAGTCAGGGTGTTCTCAAAGGCACAGGCCACAGACGCGCAAGCGGACCATTTAAAAATAAGGCGCCGCAGGCAAAGATGAGATATGAGAGGAGGCGGTGTGATGGGTGGAAAGGAGCCAGGGAGCACAGACAGCCTGCCCCGGTTCCCAGGCTAGGCACCACTGACTAGTACAGTGACCCAGGACGGACGCTCCGTGTCGCTGGGCCTCGCGTGTGGCCAGTTTCTGAAAGTGTGATCACCTGGGATAGGGCCGGGTAGGTTTCTGGTGTAAATAAAGTATGAACCCTGCTGTTCTCCAGCGCCTCTAACTCACACGTTTCACCCTAAGTCCTGGAATTTTTCTGACTGTTCTGCCTGGGCTGGCGCTATATTCACCATGAGCAGGTGGCTGAACTGGGGTGAACTTAAGAGAGCATCGCCCAACGAGAGCCCTGCATCGATCGGTTCAGCGGAAGCTTGTAATGTGCAGCTGGGGCTTGTTCTCTTTAAGTAACTGATACCCATTATCAGGATTTAAAAAGGAATTGCGCTTTGGGTCAAAGGGAGCCGGTTTTTAAAATGAGGAAGCCCCTATTCTCTGCGGGGGGCCTCCCTCCTCAGGGGCCTGGGAGTATCACTGACATTAAATACTTGGTTCTGAGAAGTAACCACTTCACACTTTAATAAGGTGAGGAATTATTCAGACAGCCACGAGGAAAGGGCAGGGGATTTAAAAAAAATAAAAGTTCGACCAATGAAGTGGAAGGCATTATCACGGAGGAGGGATGGCGTGACCGGAAACTGTCCCGAGTCCTCGCATTTCTTAGAACCTGTCGCTGCAGCAAAAGGCAGAGATGCTCCCAGCCTTCCCTGGGGACCACCAAAAGCTGCAGGATGATGGTTCTAGCCTCTGTGGGGGAACCTGCCCTTCTGGGTCAAGTCTGTAAAGATTTCTCTTTAAAAACAGTTAAGGCAAATTAACAAATAAGAGCAGCAAAGCCAGAAAACACTGACCCAAAGAAAACAGATGAAAAGGTGACAGTGCAGTGGCTCAACGCTCCTGCCCTGGAGACTGGAGATGGTGTGAGCAGTGCGGGCCTGACGTTCCTGCCCTGGGTCCCACACCCATGCCTGTCTCTGGGTGTGTGATCGCTTGTAATACCCTCCCTGCCCCCCAGGGAGGATAACCGTCCTCTTTCACCCTAAAGGCACAGGCAAGACTCCCGGTGAACACGACTTACCTCCAAGAAGGCGTTCATTTGCTTTTGGACCCTGTTCACAAATCTCCACTGGATGACTAGGCTGTGGGAGGAAAACGGAAAGCCCTTAACCAACTTGCTCATCACTGGCGTGCAGTTCTTTCCCCCCAGCTGCGACTGCTTCTCGTTAAGCGGGGCAGGGAGAAAGGCCCGACTGGCTTTGCTGGCCAAGGAGAGGGAGGGTATATGCTGCAGCACACGCTGCTCATTCATGGATTCTTTCGAGAATAACGAGCACATGTGGAACCTAAAATCTCACTGAGGATTTCAAAAGAAAGACTGATTTCTTTTTTCCCCCCACATCGAGGCTTCGTTTATCAAAGCTGCTTTATAAATGTGACTGTTTGGAGAAAAAGGGAAAATGGGGTTTGAACACATATGTATATGGGCATAAGGCATGCACACACCCCCACATATGTACACACCCACATTTATGTACAAACATGTACATATTTTTAAGGGAAATACCCACTACAAGTATTTTATCATATGATCCTTCATTCTAGTATTCAACGTACTGATTTTCGAGGATGACATATAGTTTATCAGTACTTTACCACAAATACTTTTATACCAACACTTGGAGGATTAATGGTAATACCTCTTTGAGTCACAGACAGCCACTGAAACCACGTTCCCTGTGACAACATTTAGTGTACAGCAGAATTCACTGCCAGGCGAATCCACTTTGGATTCCACCTAAGGCCTTCTGTCATGAAATAGCACAAGGACCTTGTCACGAAGGGCTCTCACTTACGAGGTGGCACCATGGCAACGGCCCTCGAGGACCAGCCTGCTGCCCACTCGCTGCTCAGAATATCAGGTTTTACTGGCTGTGCTGCAATCACCAGCCCAACAGCCTGCTTGCACCAGAGGATACAGGTGGCAGGGAGCAGCCAGGATTTCTATCCTCCTTTTTGCAGTGAAGCTAGTGGAGGCGCCCCGCAATTTGAAACCTAAAAGAATTAGCTGCAAAGAATGACGCACAACATGTACCACAAGGTGCAAATACTCAGTCTTTCAAACCTAGTCACTCTGGGGTGTTGTTAAAAGTCGATTCGAAGTCTACACTTTCTGAATGAAGACAACAGTGCCTCTTAGGACGTCGTCTGCTTGCTGAGACTGTCCAAGCTCAGCACAAGCGCCAATTAAGGTGAACAGGCAAGAAATGTAGTATCTTACTTCTAGTTTTTGATTAAGCGTAGCAAGCTTTCAACTTGCAAGTGGAGAAGTCCATGCTTTGTCAGGGTCTCTAAGTAGAGACGCCAGCTCTCTCCAATTCTTCCTGATTAGAAGGGAGAGTAGGGTTTTTTTTTTTTTTTTTGCAGATGCTAAGGAAGGATGCTAAGATCCTCAGCCAATTCTCTGAATTCAAGTCCTGTGATCAACTCTGATGACAGAGGACGGAACCCGGCTTGTTGAAATGGAGTTCTGAATGCAAACAAGGAGCTCAGGCCATGGCTGTAACTCACTAGATGAGCAGAAACTAGGATCCGGGGAGCCAACCACCGTTAACGCTGACCTCGTCCCTGTTCAAGGGCTAGCAAGGGCAACCTGGCAATCCTTGGAAGATACCAGAATGGTGAGCTCGAGGAATATGTATATACCAAAGAAGAAAATGTAAGCTGCCTAACTGTACCTCCTGCCCAGTACAGACTCCTAGGATTACCCAACAGCTAGATTTCCAGAGGACTCAACATTTTGTCCCGTCAAAGGACGCTGAGATTAAGAAAATTACGAACAGCAGGAACAATTCTTCACGTTCGCAGGTGCTGTGAATTCTCCATTCTAACTGTTCTCCTACATTTTCATGATGGAAAAGAGGTCAGGAGACAGACAGAATATGTTCTCTTCGGCTGTTCCCAATTTTACCCCAACTGGCTGTTGACACTGCTCCATTGTTGTAATTCTCAACTTCAGACGAGATGCCCACAGGCTCCCAGAGTATGTGCCAAGTTACTCAGCAGTGGCCCCTTTCTCTCCTCCCACTGCTCCTCTGTATGGCAGCAACACGAAGTCATGACACAAGTCAAACTCTGCATCCCATAATTCCGCTTCCTATTAGGCCAAGCCAGAAAGGAACTCATAGTGTTAAAAGTGTGTCCGTAATCTGCACGAATTGTTCTGGCAAAGGACGGCAACCGAACATGCTGTTCAATTTAATAAAAGAAAAGGCTGTAAGTAAGTATGTACGTACTCAATGTATTCCCTTTTGTTTTCATTTGTTACCATTATTTCTGACCCATTGGGCTTCAGATCCACTTGATAGGTCTGTAATTACAAAGATAAAACAACATCACCATCATGAAGTTATTTTGCATATTATCACTGAGTAATAACGTCTTACTGTAAAAGGAAGATAAGTAAAATTTATTCAGAACTCTTTC